AAACACAGTCATTGGCCGTTACTCACTTACTTACTTTAGTTAAGGCGTAGTCTATTCTAGAAGAATAGATGAACAGCACTTGAACATGGGTCAGCCAGTACTGAGAGACTGGCCAATGCCGTTCTGAAGGGACAGGAGGTGGCCTCCTCCCTTGGCAGATTGAAAGGGAGACAGATTCAGATCCCTAAACCTGGATTATGGAGATGGGGGCCAGGAGGCATCCAGTGTGGTCATAGACCCAATGAAGGAGAATCGTGTAGGAACTCTGGAGTGGGTACACTCACACAGAGAGAAGTCATGCCTTTAAAAGCATTGTGGTTCCAGCAGCATCCACTGATCGAAGCAGAGGCTATACATCTTGTGCCAGGCCAGACACATATGTACAGCAGTTCTCTGAAGTGCACGGCCTCTGGCATGTTTGAAAGTGAAAGAAAACAAGAATAGTAGGAATTTCTAATGCTTTTAGAAATGACCCTGGACACAATGCTGCTACACTTACACTTTGATGTGTATCTCTAGAAAAGTAATATTTTTGTGTCTAACTTATTTGATTACTATAGTGATTCTTTATATAATTATGAAATACCTTTCAATGCCATGTAAATACCAAGAAATACCCTAGTCATTTTGTAGCAATATTGACTTTTCTTAGAATAAAATGACAAACATTCAAAGGGAGATGTTCTTTCCTTCACAGAGATAATATAAATGCTGCAGTTCAACTTCCTTTCATTTTGGTGTTGTTTGTACTTGTCACCGGTAATTTAATTCCTTGATGCCTTACATTAAGTTACCACTGTACCTATGCCTTGGCAGGCTGGTCATTATTATAGCTTGCAGGGTTCACAGCTGGGTAGGGCTGTTAACAGCTTCTCTTTCCCAGAAGCCTGCACAGTATCTTTCATTAGTATGAAAGCTAGCCCGTAGGGGGGAAGCTCCCCACTCAGTACCAACTTGATTACTCAGAATCCTGTGGCTTTTCATCAATTAGGCTCTGCATCCGGAGTCTTCAGCACTTAGGCTCTGACCACCAAGTTCTAGTGGGCAACCAGGAGCAATAGCAGCAGCCTGTATTGTTTGAGAGATATCTGGAACAGTCCAGACAAATAGCTTGAGGGGAGGAATCTCATGCCTGCCACTGCGGGATTTTAGTTGGCAACCTCTGGCTTCTGGGAGAAACATTATCATTTCTGCAGGGTAACTCCAGTTAAACTATTTTACACTTGCTTATATCAGTTTGCACACTAGTTATTGAGGGCTCAACTCTTCTCACATCCTCACCAGCCTTTGTTGTCACTTGTTTTCTTAATCTTAACCGTTCGGAATTGGGGAGATTAAATCGAAATGGCATTTTAAGTTGTGTTTCCCTGATGGCTAAGTGTATCAAAACTTTCAAAAATATTTGTAACATTTTGTGTTTGTTCTTTTGCTAATGATCTGTTCCATAGCCAATTTTAAAATTGAGTTTGATTTCTTGGTGTTTAATATTCTGAGTTCTTTCTGTACCTTAGATACTAACTCTCTGTAACGCATAGTTTTGAAGACTCATGCCTCTGTCCTAGGATTCTGTATGACTCCAGTTAATTGAAAGTTTATCTTGCAGTGTAGACACCTTTTAAGTTGATGAAGTCCGACTTGCTGATTGTTGGTTCTGTTTTGTGAGAGTCCTTGTCTCTGAGCCTGTGCGGAAGTAAGTTTGCTCCCAGAAGTTTCAGAGTCTCTGGGCTCAGGTGTCACATTAACATCTTTGATCCATTTGGAGTTGATTTTTGCACATGCTGTCAGATAAGAAGCAAATTTTAATTACATTTAGATACCCAATTTTCACAGCACCATTTGGTAAAGATGCTGTCTTTTCTCCAATGTCTAGTTTTGACATGTGTCAAAAATCAGGTGACTGGGCTAGGGAGCCTGCATGGGACTAGACTAGGCCTTCTGCATGTGTGTGATGGTTGTGTGGCTTGCTCTACTTGTGGGACTCCTGGCAGTGGATACGGGGCCTATTTCTAATGCCGGGTTGTCTTGCTTAGCCTTAATACAAAGGGAGGAGCTTAATGTCCTACCTGAACTTGATATGCCATGCTTTGTTGGCACCAATGAGAGGCCTGCCCTTTTCTGAACAGAGGTGGTGGAGGGAAGGAATGGAAGGAGGGGGAGGGGAAGCTGCAGTCAGGATGCAAAATAAATGAAAACATTCAGTTAATAAACAAATCAAAAAAAACAGGTGGCTGTAGGTGTATGTTCTTTTATCTGGTCTTCAGTTCTATTTTCACGGATAAATTTGCCCATTTATTTGCACAATACTGTTTTCATTACCGTGCCTCTGAAACCTTTGAAATCAGGCATGGTTATACCTTCAGTAGTGTGTGTATTGCTCAGATTATTTGTGCTATTCAAGATCATTTGTACTTTCGTGTGAAATTCAGATTGCATTTTTAATATCCATGAACAATTCCTCTGAAATTTTGGTGGAGATTACAATGAATTTGTAGATTGCTTTTGGTAGGATGGCCAATTTTTTGTTTTACAATATTAATCCTATTAATCAATCCATGTTCATGGAGGTCTCTCCATCTTCTGGTGTCTTTTTAAATTTCTTCATCTTTTATTTCCTTGATGTATTAGTTATTTTTCTGTTGCTGTGATTAGATACTATTCCCTAAAGTAACTTATGGAAGAAAGAATTTATTTTGGGTTTATGGTTCCACAGGGATAAAGAATCCATCATGGCAGGGAGGCATAGCAGCATCATGGCAGCTGGAGCAGGAAGCTCACATCCTAGCGATAAGCAGAGAGAGTAATTTGGAAGCAGGCCAAGACTTTAAACTCTCAAAGCCTTACCACAGTGACATACTTTCTCCAACAAGGCCATACTTCATCAACCTCCCTAAACAGTGTCACCAACTGGGGACCAAGTATTCAAAACTCAGAGCCTATGGGGGACATTTCTTATTTAAACAAGCACAGTTGGTTAGGTTTATTCCATGGCATTTTATCTATATAAGTTAAGGCTACTGTGAAGGTATGTTTGCCTTAGGTATTTAGCAAGGGCATTGATTTGTGTATGTTGATTCTGTGGCCTGCCACCTGCAAAGTGTTTGTCAGATCTAGGGGAGTCTTTAGGGTCTTTCAGTTGCAGAAAAAATTATATGCAAATGGGGATACTTGGACTTCTTTTCGATTCCTTCATTTGTCTTAATGCTCTAGCTAGTACTTTAAGTACTGTGTAGAATTTGAGTGGGGAGCATGGATACTCTTGTTTTGTTCTGATTCCAGTTGGACTTAGTCCAATTTTCATCCATTTAGCTTTATGATGAATAACATATTATGTTGAGAACCAGTCCCTTCACCATAGTTTCTCCAGGGTGATCAGTGTTAGTTTTTGTATCAGTTGAAACCATCATATATATGCTACATAAATGTATTTTATGGAATTTTAGGTAAATACAGCATAATATGATTCACTATTAATTTTTCAAATATTTGCTGTTGTTTGTACCCTGTCCTTCTGCATTGTTTTTTCTCCTCCTTCCCCAGTGAAAACTCTGCTCCTTGTTTTTCCCATTTCCCTCTTCATAGCACTCATGTCCTGCTATTTCCCTCTCTAGGGATCGTTGGCCACCACATGTGCTTCTTAAAATTCCTGGTTACTGCAGTTACTCAAGGTTACATATTCACATCTGAAGATTTGGATCTAGGAATCACAGTTAATAGAGAACACGCAGTGTGTGTCTCTCTGGTCTTAGTTACTCCTCTCAATATAATATTTTATAGTTCCATTTGCTGCAAATTTTCATTACACATAGTGTCTACATTTTCATTGTTCATTCATCAGTTACAGACATTTAGGATTTCCTAGCTGTCTTAGTTTGGGTTTCTGTTGCTGTGAATAGATACGATAACCACAGCAACTCTTATAAAGAAAAGCATTTAATTAGGGCTGGCTTATAGTTTCAGAGGTTTAGACCATTATCTTTGTGGTGGTGTGCAAGCAGACATGGTACTGGAGAAGGAGCTGAGAGTTCTAGATCTTGATTCATAGGCAGCAGAATCAACTGTGTCCCACACTGAGCATAACTTGAGCCTATGAGACCTCAAGTCCAACCTCCATAGTGAGACACATCCTCCAACAAGGCCACACCTCCTAATGCCACTCCCTTTGGGACAAGCATTCAAAGACATGAGTCTATGGGAGCATACCTATTCAAATCATCACCCTAGCTTTGTGTAGAGAGCAGCAGTGAACGAGGCTGAGCAAGCATTTATGGACCAGGATGTTAAGGATTTTGGACATATGCCAAGGGGTGCTGTAGTTGTATAATATGTTAGACTTATTTCTAGACTTTTGAGAATTCTTAAAATTGTTTCCAGAGTGGCTTTACCAGTTTTGAATCCCCCCAACACTGAATGAGGGTTCCCTTTTCTTAAATTCCTCAGTGGTATGTTTTGTTGTTTGTTTTGTTGATCCTAGCTATGCTGACTGGGGTAAGATGAAATCAGAGCTGTAATTTGAATTCCCCTAGTTACTAAGATTGTGAACATTTTAAGCCATATTCATTCCTTGTGAAAATTCTGTTCAGATTCATAGTCTGTTTTAATTGTTCATTTGTTTTTGTGACTCTTTAAGTTCTTTATGTATTTGGGGTATTAATCCTCGGTCAGATGTTTAGCTGGCCACGACTTCTACTCTGTGAGTTTCTTCTCCACCCAATTGGTTGTTTTCATAACTGTACAGAACCTCTTTAGTTTTATAAGGTGCCACTTGTCAATTTTGGGCCTTCATTTCTGGGCAAAGGGAGTCCTTTTCAGAAAGTCATTTCCCGCACCTAGCTCTTGTAGGGTCCGCCCCAACTTTCTTCTATATGTTTTAGCATTTCAAGTTTTACATTGAATTCTTTGATCACTTGGAGCTTTTGTTGGTTGGTTTGTTTGTTTGTTTGTTTGTTTTTGACCAGGGTGATAGATACAAGTCTAATTTCATTCTTCTGCATGTTTTCCAGCACCATTTGTTGAAGAGACCGTCTTTGTCCAGGCTGTTTCTGGCATCTTTGTTGTAATGGAGATGTGACAGCTGTCTAGGGGATTGATGAATTTGCTCCCTGACTCGAACAAAGAATTGAATGACTAGGAACACAGAAGACACAGCTTTATCCTGTCAGGATGGGAGAAGTCTAAAGCTGGAAGTCCATTAAGTAGAGGCTGACTTGGGTACTTTACAGTTCCTCACAGAGCCTGCTTTTGTTTTCCCTGTTCACCTGTGTCCCTCTAGCTCTGCTATGCTTAATACCCTGTGGTTTGCTTAAGAATGGTCCCCCATAAGCTCATATTTGAAAGCTTAATCACCAGGGAGTGACAACTATTCAAAAGGATTATAAGAATTAGGAAGTGTGGTCTTACTGGAAGAAGTGCATCACTGAGGGTGGGTGTTGAGGCTTCAAAGGCCCATGCCAGGACTGTCCCTCTTTCTGCCTACAGATAAGGATATTGCTCTCAGGTACTGCTCCAGTGCCTGCCTGCATGGTGTCTTGCTTCCTACTATGGTGACTTTGGACTAAACCTCTGAAACTATAAAGGAGCTCCCAACTAAATAGATGCCTTCTCTTCTAAGAGTTGCCCTGCATAGCAATAGAGCAATGCCTAAGACATACCACCCTCTCAGAGATTGATACTGCCTGCTGTTGGAGGAGTGTTTTACTTACTTTCTGCTCAGAGGAGGTAGAATCTAGGGGTGTCAGTGTAAAGGAAAAATTAAAAATGCTGTGGGTCTCCAGTGGCAGCAGGCAGCAGAAATGCTGTAGGTCCCTAAGTGGTGGCAGCAGGCCATGTGGCAGCAGGCAGTGGGCCTTGAGAGAGGCCAGTCCCAGGCAGAGATGGCTGCAGGTCCCTGAGCTGTGGCTGGTCCAGGGCAGGGAGACACGCGGCTGCTGGGCAACAGAGACATGGATAGGCATACCATGCAGAGTGAGGTTGGATATTTATTCAGGGGGTTAAGGAGGGAGAAGGGAAGAAGAACAGAGAGAGAGAGAGAGAGAGAGAGAGAGGGAAGAAGAAGAAGAAGAAGAAGAAGAAGAAGAAGAAGAAGAAGAAGAAGAAGAAGAAGAAGAAGAAGAAGAAGAA